AAATACTGGGCTGTAGAGTGTCCACGGGAAACTGGAGAAGGACCAGGGTGGCCGCGGAGGCCAGACAGGAGGGAGGAAGGGCACTTGAGGAACTCAGAACAGATGGAAGTATTTTAATATTTAAGAACCCAGTGAGGCTGGACTGACCCATGTGGCAGAAGGTCGATCATGCCCTCACCTCGTTCCTCATCAATATGCTGGAAAGAACAGAAAAATAAGCAAAACCCTATGTGCAGAAAATGTGATGTTATTGGAATGAGGTAAAGTCATCTAAGCAGAACAAGCTCATTAAATTTCTGGGTACTCTTCACCAGTGGCCTCTGTGTATACCAGGACCCAATGCATTGGCCGAACTATCTCTCAAGGGCTGGCGATGATGGCCCTGTAAGCAAAAGCCTTCCCTACCTCCAGAATTGCCCCTTTCTCAGCACTAGGGACAGTAAACACCACCACCTGTGGGTCCTCAGCCTCCAAGAATGGCCTTACCCTGGTCTCTAGCTTGCAGCAAATTCCATTCATCGTCCTCATTGTATTCTAAATCTAAAGAAAACAAAGAGTCATGCCCAGCAGCTCGTCCATAAAACATTAATCACTATCTCCCTCCTCGAGAGGTTCCTGACCAGTGAAGGTGTAACCTACAGGAGTGATGGAAAAATCCAAATGGGTCAGCACCAAAGCCGGGCCACACCAAAGGCAGGGGGCCCTGGCACTCGTCCCTCTAGTGCTTTTCCAGACCAGCTCCTGGCTTCGTTTCCAAGAATACTGAGGCCCAGCCTGGGGACCCCAAAAGGGGGAGAACCCTCCCTACATTTACCAGTTCCCCAAAAGGCGTCGTGGTCCTTGGGACCAAGTGGCAAATGGCTGCTTTGAAGCCATCCATACCCATATATTTTGTCCCTCTTTGAGCCCACATGGGCTTTTGAGGTATATAAAGATGCTGAGATCAGGACCAGAGGCACAGGCCCTACTTAGATTTCATGGCATCTGTGTCTGACCTGCTGACTCACCCCAGTCCAGGGCAGCTTTGAAGGCCCATTCTTCCCTTATGGACCTCTTGGTACTTCTCAGGGCCTGGAAAAAAGAATCCCCTTGAGGGAAATATCAGAAGGGAAATTTGGGTTTCCAAGGATCCCAGCTTCCTGGATGTTTAAAAACTCAGGACTGATTGACCCAGGGCTTAAGGTCATATATATGTGTTGCTGAAAGGCAACGTCTGGTTGATCCGAACATTCATCACGGAGCTCTGGCTGACGTTCCTTCTACAGGGGTCAGGAGAATCGCGAGATGAGAGCCGGCCTTCCCAGAAGTCTCAGAACAGGTGGGGCCATTATGGGAGCAGAACTTGTTGCTCTGGCGAGTTTAATGGGAGAGACAAACACTCTAGGATTCAGTAACTGCTGGGTTACATTCTGCTTCCTTCTGGGCCAAGTGCAGAGGGGTGTGGCCTTCCAGGCCAGCCCAGCCACCTCTTTGTGCACATCTCGTGTGCACATAGGGGGGTCCAGAGGAGGAAGGGACCTGCTGTCTAGTCTCAGCAGAAACTGAGTAGACAGGTGACAGGCGCCCCCAATCACTGCACCTCACGTGTGTAGTCGCCTGAATGCTTGGCAGCCGCGGTGTAAAGGTTGTCATGGAATTTTCCAGGAAATTTACTCTCTCCATTAAAGTGTGATAAACAAAACTGACAAGGGCTCTCGTTGCTTCACAAGCCCCACCCCAGTTCCAGTTATCCCACCCAAACCTCTCCTCTGTTCTGGGCTGGACAGAATATGAGCAGAGCAGACTGAGGGATGACCTTTGGGAAACGGGGTACCTGAGGAACCAAACCCACAGGCTGGAAGATGACAGGGAGTCTGGGACAGCCCGGTCCCAAAACCTTTGCCCCCAGACCTGAATGGGTATGAGGGCCTTTTCTACTGCATTAATGGTCCTCAGCGTGCGGCATTGCCCTTCCCTTTCTCATTGACTCTAGTGGGAGAGGATGACCTTGAATGAGCACATTTTTCTGCCAGATAGAGGGGCAGTCAGGACTGGAGGGAACTGGGGAGTCTGGGTCAAGGCCAGTGCCAGGGGAGCAGCCTGGGGCCAGGTGGTGCCAATGTGTCTCAAGCAGACACTATGTCCAGTTGGCCCCGGAAAGAACAGCACTTCTCCTGGTGCTAGAGTTTCCTTCAGCCAGCTTTTCTCTTCTTTTCCCCCTCCTTCTAAACACCCTACAGGCATCGGAAGCCCAGCTGTCCAGCAGGCCCACAGCTACATTTTGTGGAGGTTATGACATAATGACCAATATTGCCATGTTGTGGAAAGATCTCCATCTTTGAAGACAGGCAGAGCAAATTCATATCCCAATTCTGCCATTAACCTCAGACGAATCATTTCATCTTCAGGGACCTCAGCATTTTCGACAAATGGGGGCAATCATCTCCACCTTCCAAAGACATTGTAAAGATTAGAGAGACTGTGTGTGAAGTCCCAGGAGAGTTCTGCACAGATAGTAGGTTCTCAGGAAATACCAGCTCCCGGATTTCTTTTTCAGGCCTTGTCTCTTGGCACTAGGATTCTAGAAGTTACAACTAAACAATAAGAAAGGCTCTGCTTGCATGCAAAGGAAGAGCAGAGGCTGAGATGGGAGTGGCCGGGGTCCTAGTGTCACATCTGGGTGGATGGGACGAGACGAGGAGACAAGACAAAAGGGGCTGCGAGAGAGAGCCTCGGCACTCCCTCACCGCCAGGCCTGGGTGGCCGTGAGCGAGCCCATATCCTGTTTCCATAGCCTGGCCATCACGATCCCATTCATACCAGCCTATTCTCAGCCTGGGAGATGCACAGGAAGTCTGTGTGGGCTGAGGCAGCCCGGTGCACACCGGGAGAGGAAAGTCTGTTCCGGCGGCTCTGACTCAGGCTTCGCGAAGGTAACCTAGTCCGCGGGCCCTGCCTGGCCCCCTCCGCCTTACCATCAGCCGTCCTCCGCCAGAGGGAGTCAGGAACCGTGTGTCTCTTAGGGGCAGTGTTGGGGTGCAAGGACCTTCCCAGACACTCCTTCCTTCCTCAGCCGTCACCCATGGTGACACTGGCCTGTGTGCCGAGGGAGACTTCCAGAAGGTGGATAGTTCTCAGAGCCTCCTGGATTCTCGGCCTCCGTGGAAGGTGCAAGCCTGCCTACTGGAATATGGCCTGTCCCCTGTTATGGAGCACTCACTTTCCCAAAGTCATTGTCCCCGCTTTGAGAATGAACCCTGAGTGTGTGCGGCTGAAGGGGACAACAGGGGCCTGGGTCTGAGTGTCAGCTTGACGTAGGCTCGTCCTGTGACGTTGGGGCGTGTCCCTGAGTGTCCACCCCCCTCCGTTGAATGAGGATAGGCACACCTGCTATGCCCCACACTGGGGGCACCGCGTCAGCTTGACGTAGGCTCGTCCTGTGACGTTGGGGCATGTCCCTGAGTGTCCACCCCCCTCTGTTGAATGAGGACACACGCACACCTGCTACGCCCCACACTGGGGGAGCCGCAAGTGGGGAGGGATTTCGTGAGTTCGAGAGGCCTGGACGGGGCTGTTTTCAGCCCACACTGGCCTTGGGGCTACAGGGATGGGCGGAAAGGCAGGAGCAGGCAGAGGGGACCTTTCCGGGCAGAGGCTAGCCCACTCTGACCCCTCCTCTCTGACCCCTCCAGGGAAAACGCACGTCCTCATTGAATGTGTCTAGTGACAGGAGCGCAGGGTCCCACGAGGCCTCAGGAACCAAGCTGCTCTTTGTCTCTCAGCTCCTGCGGATCACGCTGCCCCAGCCAGCTAAGCATCACCTGCTCCCGGCACGAGCCTCTCGCGGCTCTGATGGGCCTTGGGCCCCAGCACCCGGCACAGGTGTGGGTAGAATCAGAAACCTGAGTGGAGGGACAGAGGGAGGGACACCTGGGCAGTCCCTGGTGCGCCCCAGGCCCTGCTCCAAGGAGGGCAGGGGACTAATGGGGCTGTCACCCTTAGTCCTGTTCGCCCCCACCCCTTCACACTCCAGAATAAAAAATGGCCCCAGTTTTGGCAGGACCCTGTGTCCCCCAGATGGATTCTGGGCTGGAGCTGTGTCCACCCGCTGAGGCAGGAAGACAGGCAGTGGCTCCCCTTCAGACTGGGCCCCAAGAAGTGGGTCCAGATCGGCTCTCGGACCCCAAGATCCCCGGTAGAAACACAGCGATGAGAGAAGAAAATCGACTGCAGGAAACCTGGGTGACCTTACAAGTCATTCTTTATTTTCTTATCATATAATGAGATTCCAATTCTGAAGAGACACATGTGCAGAGCAGACAGAGCGGGGTCCTGTGTGCGGTGGCAGGGACCGGGCAGGGCGTGGGTCTGGCTCCTTCCCCTCCAGCACGACCAACCCTCGGCCCGCCTGGCCCTTGGCCATTGCCTGGGCAGAAACCGAGAAGCTGGGGATGAGAGGGGCCAGAGGTGCTAGGCCTGGCCAAATCACGATCTGCTTGTGGGACATTGGGCCTCAGCTTTCTTATCTGTTAAGTGGGTTAGAAGTCCCTGTGCAGATGTCGTGATGGGTCGGCAACTGTTAAGGGCCCCCTGGTCGTCCTGCTGCTTCTGGATATCCAGGTGCTTTTGCCATCGTTGTGGGCCCATGGGGGAACCTGCTCTGGCCCTGGTGGGCTTGAATGATTGTGTAGACAGTTGCCCCTAAAACAGACACCGTGCTTGCCACTGTACTTGGGCTGTGGCCATAGCTCCTTCATCAAGTCAAGGCCAACTCTCCCTCCAGGAAAGCGAGGAGGGAAGGCAGTGGCCTGGATCACACAGGGAGCCTGTGCAGGTCACCCAGCTGCCCCCAAATGCCCCCGACCAGCAGCAGCTCAGCGATAAGGAAGAATCCACTCCTCCTCCCCGCTCAGGATCAGCTGGGGACTTGGAAACCACCTCCCCACACGGGGGGGTCCAGCAAAGATAACCACTCCCATGGGCTGAGCTGCATCACGGTCACCTGTCCCCATCCCGGGGGCTTCAGATAAACACCTGCTTTTTAATAAACACACACCTGCCTGACAGTGACCTGTGTCTACACTGGCAGGAGGAAGTAGAGAACAGAATAATGAGCAAGATGATGCAATGATAGGTAGAAAAGACCAACTAAAACTCGATGAAGAAACGTGGGCATGCCTCTCTCCTTCGCCCTCTAAATGGCCTTTGTCCTGGAGCAGCAGACCCTGTCTGGTGAAGCCACTGCAGAAGGATCAGTCCTGCTCCCCCAGGAGTGGGGACCTCCAACGGCTCAATTGTCTGTTGCTTGCTGCTTTGAAACATGCGAGCTCATGTACACGAGTTCACACAGACGCGCAGGTGCAGCTAGCTAGGCACTTGGGGTGAGGGCCCGCACAAGAAGCAGCATCGGTCCAGATTATGTCTTCCAGAACCCACGGTGCGGCTACGCTTACAAGATTCTAGCGAGGTGCCTCAGGCCCCTGAGCTCTCCCTATCCCCGCCACTTTACAGATGGGGTCCGTGTGGCCCCAAGACGAGGATGATGCCAAGATTATGCAGCACATCCAAGGGAGGGCGCCGGAAGCAAGGCAAGCTGCATGGACAGAGCTTGTCGCCACGTGCCCCCAGCGCGGCCCCTCCTGGGGTGTCTTCCCCTCGAAGCACCCTTGGGACAAAGTGCACGTTACAAGAAAGAGGGCCATGCCCAAAGGCACAAAGCAATAACAGTGAAACCTCAGGCACCTGCGGCAGGTGAGTTGGTGAGCAACTTTGGGACGAGGGGCGCTTTCTGGCATACCTCCAGTCACACTCTGAGGGGACGACTAATTAGGATGGGTCCCTCTCTTTCACCTCCTCTGCGACTTCAAGGGAGTGGCTGAGTGATAAATCTGGTCTCCAGGAAGGCCCGAGGCCAGGAAACAGAGAAAGAGAAAGTGACAGAAACAGCCTCAAGTCGGGCTTGACTACGCAAGTCCTGCAGATCTTTGGGAAGTGACTTTGGCCAGCTTGTCAGAGTGTCTACAATATGGATGCACCCCTCCCCTCCCTCCGCCCGCCCCTACCCCTGCCCCCCACGTGGATGCCTGGGCCAGGCCCCCTCTATTTGGGCTTCATTTCCACCCTGGAGTTGATGTCCTCAGCATCCAGGTCATACTCCTCCACCTGGCCGCTGGTCCACACCTTCATGCGGTCTGTGATGTCACTGTTGCGTGGGGCCAGGATGAAGTCGTAGATGAGCACGGCCAGGGCTCCCCCGATGAACGGCCCCACCCAGAAAATCTAGGAACAGAGGAGGCCGTGCTCAGAGGACGTCCGGCCGGCCCTTCGGGGCCCCAGTGAAAGCCCCCGCCCCCGAGTTCCCGCCACACTGCATGAGTTCTCTTCCCCCTGCACCTGGGGCGGAGACAAGCAGTGCTGAACCCCAACATCCTGATTCGAGTCCCCGCCTACCGCAAGTACCGGCCCAAGCCGGGACTGTGGCAGTGGACATCTCCTTGCCTCGGTGTGCCCTAGCCCAGCGTGCCTGGCAGGGTCACACCAGCCCCCTCTCGAGGGCGGCCACCGCCCTGCCCCAGCTTTGGACGGCCACAGACACTAGTTTGGTAAAAGGCTGGCCGGGAACAGAAACGGCGACCGTGAAGACAGCAGCCCACGGGACGCTGACTCTGCAGCACTCGGCTCACAGGTCGTGAGGCCAGTTTGTCCTCCCAGCAACCCGGGAGGCAAGTAGGTGACACCACATCCCCGTGTCACAGCTCGAGAAACAGGCACCAAGCAGGCCAGCGGGCTGCCCAAGGTCATGGCCAATCAGAGAGTAGCAGAGCCAGGATTCGGGCTCGCTCTCCACCGCAGAGCCGGGTTGACTGGGGGCAGGTCTGAGCTGGGAGGGGAGGCCTGGCCCACACCGCCCACGGCACGGCCACGCCGGCCCCTTGGCCTCAGGTCTCAGTGTCCTGATGCCCCCTGCCCTGGCTGCCTCCCAGAGCCTCTGTGATGGAAGAGGATGTCGAAGTCAGGCCTTCCCTAGGCACCCACCCCCACGGACAGCCCTGCACCCTTACCCAGTGGTCCTTGAAGTTGTGGCTGATCACCGCCGAGCCGAAGGACCGGGCAGGGTTAATACCACAGCCAGTGTAGTCGATCTGCGAAGGGGAAGGGGCGGGCGGGCAGAGGGAGGGGAGACACAGGGAGAGGAAGAGAGAGAGTGGCCCACAGAGAAAAAGACAGACCGGTGGCAATTAGAACCAGAAAGAGGGGGGCGCACGGACCCAGAAAGAAAGTCAGGGGGTCCCTGTGCTCCCCTCTCCTGGGCAGGACCTATCCTGCAGCTGCACAGAGCTGACTCCTGCCCCCCATGGAATGAGCCCAGTGGGTGGTCCCTTCCCCTGCCCAGTACAGGACACCCTGACAGCCCCTGTCTGGACTTGCTCTCTCCATCCCGACCCCCACCTGGGGAGAACCCCCACTTACAGCCAGCAGGTGTCCCAGGGCCACAGAGAGGCCTATGGCAAGGGGTGCTGAGCCCCCGAGGTCACGGCGCCTCCGATCAGTGGTGGCCAGCACGCACAGCACCAGCTGCAGGGTGCCGATGATCTCGATGCCCAGGCCCTGGCCTGAGTTCACGCCAGGGGCCAGCTGCAGGGGAGAGGGACAGCAAGGCTCCATGAGCGGGGCAGGTGGGGACTGTGTCCCAGGGCCCCCAGGCTCAAGCACCAAGGGCCAGGCCCACAGCAGCCCCTGGCGGGACCCAGAGCGGGCCAGACCCTACCCAAGCACACACCGCTCTTAGAGGACATCAGGCCTTGTCTCCTCTCACACCTGTTGAGGAAATGCCACCTGGGCTTTTGGTACCTGCCGAGATACCTGGGCGTGGTGGGCATCTGCTGGGGGTACCACCCTCACGTGTGGCTTTGGTACCCCCAGAGTGGTACCAAAGCCACACGTGAGAGGCGAGGCCCAGGCATGGGAGGAGATGGTCAGGGACACTCAGGGACAGTAATAAGAGAAGAGAAGCAAATGGGTGGGAGGACCCAGCTGGACACATTGCTTCATATCCCAAAAGTCCAGAACATTCTACCTGATCCCTGGCTACATCTAAAACTCCCAAAGCCTGGAGGGTCCTCCTCAGTTAGCTGGCTCCCTCTGTCCCTCCCTCCTTTGTGCCTCCCCCTGGTGCCCCTACCCTCTGTGTCCTTCCCCACGTCTATCTGTCTTGCCCCTGGTCCAGCGTCTATCTGTCTTGCCCCTGGTCCAGCGTCTCTCCTATTTCTTCTTGGCCCCGCCCACCCTGTCTGCCCCTCCCTCTCCCTCCCGGCCCGGCCCCTCCCCCTCTCCAGCCACATAGGCCCCACCACCAGCGTCTGGCTGCCACTTGCTCCTGGGCCACTTTTAGTAACATGACTCATGGAAAAGGAAAGGAATGGGAGCTGCCATGAAGTCACTGGAGGCCTCCTCCTGCAGCTCCCGAGGGAGCCCCTGCACCCTCCCCACGAAGGGGTCTCAGGGGCCAGGTGCGCTCACATAGGGGAGCTGGGCCACGTCAGCAGAGGCCCACTCTCAAGCATGCCCAGCTGTGGCGATGCCGGCTGCCTTCTCCCAGGCAGGGCTGGTGTGTCCGAATGAGCCTGAACTTGAACCTCATCCCGAGAGTAGGGGGCTGTGTCCAAGACAGTAGGGCTTTATGCAAAAGCCTAGGTGGGGGGCGCTCTTCCACCCTCCGGACGTTCTCGGCCCCACGCGGAGGCCACCTTCCGAGAACAATTCTCTTCCCGCCTTTGTCTGCAGCTCCGGGTCACGGGGAAAGTGACTCACATCCCTGCCGCGGTGGTGCAGCCCCAGCTCTGGGCCTTCCTTTCCTGGCTGACCCCAGAGCTGCACCCTCGGCCCGGCCAGCCCTCTGGGCAATGCCCACTCTTCTCCCCACCCCGAGGTAAGGCCTGGAGGCAGGAGCCCTGCACTCAGGTCTCGACCCTCCGACTTGCTGGACCGTGACCATGGGCCTTCACCCCGCTGGTCCTCAGTTTCCCCATGTGTAAAATAGATCTAAATGACCCTGTCTAGTCTTCAGAGAGGCCGGGGTTCAAAGGCAATGGGCCTATCCTGAGGCAATGGGAAAGGGCCGGAGGGGCAGGAGCCGTGAGGAGACGTGTGGCTTTGTTCTGGTTCTTTCTCATCTCACCCCCAGGACTGGGGCGCAGGCAGAAGGGGAGGGACCCTCCTGCACCGGGGCATGGAGAGGAGGGTGAGGCTGCCCGATGCTAGGACAGGCTCCGTGGAGGTGAGGCTGGGCCACTGGTATGGATGACCATCACACTCGCATCTGCCACTCCCTCGTGTCTGAGCCTGAGCATCTGAGCGCTCAGCTCAGAGCTCCTCCTCCCGCCCGGCCTCTGCTCTCCAGGGTGGGCCTAATTGCTAGCTGGCAGGAGTCCCGAAATCAGCCCTTCCATGCTGATTAATGGATCCAGCCATTGCTCTAAGTGTCTCCTGCCTCATATGCCCCGCATCCCCACCCGCCCCTCGCAGATGTGGCCTGGACAAGCTTATCCCCTCCTGCAGTTCTTAACCAGGTCTAAGCATCCCAGCCCCTGCTCGCCCCAGAGACACCATTTTTCATGCAAAATGAGCAGAGTGTGTGGGGGGAGGGGGCGGCAGGGGGGATGCTGGTGCCATGTCAAGCTCTCTGAGTCCACAGGAACAGGACCCCTGCCCTGGGATCTCCAGGATGTCCCTTCCTGACTGTCCAGAGCCCTTAAAACCTGACTGTCCAGAACTACATGGGTTGGTAACCTTCCTCTCCCAAAACCCACCACCACTACCAGGAAGCCTTCCATGGTTGCTTCACACACCCACACACAGGCATCATCCCTCCATGGACATTCATGTGTGCATGTGACTCTGGGTACTCAAGGCTTCGTGTACGTCCATGTGTCTTCATAGATCAGTGTCTGCAGTATCTGTGGGTAACCACACGTATCCAGGCATGACTCGCCTTTCCCTTAGACGTTAAGAAATTTATTACATAATAATTAAACGACAAGTCTATCAAAAGGCTATAAAAATTCTCAACTTTAAAGCACCAAAAAAAAAGCCTAAAAATAAATGACACAAAAAATTGACAGAATTTCAAGAACCTGAATAATCTACCACCAAAGTGAGTTTAACAACCCTCTCTTAGAAACCGATGGAATAAAACAGTCAAAACATATAAATAGCATAAACAGGGAGGGTTTGAACCACATAATGAACAAGTTTGGTTTAAGGAAAATATGTAAAACCCTGCACCCCAAAATTTGAGAATATATACTTTTTTCCAGCCCATGTAGGACATTCAGACAAACTGGTTGTGTACTGGCCAGATGCAGCTCGGCTAACTCTGAGAATCCCTACCACGCAGGGTCCCATCTCTCACTGAGGTGGGCTCTGGGTGTGGGGGTGGGGGGCGTCTGTGTGTCGCACACCCACACACAGGTGCCAGTACTGGCAGCCAAACAGGGAGAAGAAAGGAGGGAGGCCCCTTAAGTGAGACAGAGAGCAGCAGGTCTCAGAGGGTCCTTTATTTGCTCCCAGAAGCCATTTCATCTTCCTGACAAGAAACAATACACAAAACAATGGCTTCCTCCCGCCCTCCCTCCTTCTTTTCCTTACTCCAGGCAGCCTCGGCCCTCCTACCAGGGAAAGGAAGCGGCTCCGCGGAGGAGCCCCCGCCCCCCCCTCCGAGAGTCCCCAGGCCTAAGCAGGACCACCCAGACTTGAGAATGCCCTCCACGCCCACGTGTGTGTGTCCCCACGTGCCATGGACCAGTGTGCGTGTGAGGGTGGTGTGTGCTTGAGCTGTCCACTTGGAAGCAGCAGAAATGATCGAGGACTGGGGGGCAGGAGGCATGGGCATGGTCCCGCCCTGCCGGGATCTGCTGTGTGACCCCCGTGAGTATCCACGCCTCCGGGCCTCCGTGTCCTCATCAGCAAAATGGAGGCCTCGGCCCTGACTCTAGCCCAGAGAGTCTCCGGGATTCTTCTCTTCCTGACATGGGACCTGTGCCTCCCAGACCCACGGTCACCCTTCCGAGCAGGATCAGGAAACCTAAGTGTGGGGTCCCTTTCCACAGGCCATCTGAACTGCTGGTCGCAACGTGGCACGAAGCCTGTCACCAGCCCCGCTGAACCGTGGACGGCCAGATGCCCGGGAGCAGCCAGCTGCCAGACGGATCCTACCAGCACACCGCAAAAGACAGGAGCTGACTGGCGCAGAGGCAGCCGCTTCCCCGTAAAAAGATTCCTTCTTGACTCTGCGCAGACAGCTGTCCTGCGGCTGGGGTTTCAGGCACGGAGAGGAACTGCAAGAATGGGGTATTTCCCAGCCTCTCCACCCTCTCTGACTCGGGGTGTACTCATCCCACTGGACTATGGCTTCCAGGTGGCAGAGAGACTGCGCCTCACGTATGCCCCTGTGGGCAAGGAGCCCCTCGGGTCCCCGGGGAGAGGCTCCAGCTGAGGGGACCCTAACTGTGAAAATTTTCCTGCCCACATGTGTAAGTGCGTGGGCTCAGCCTCAGCCATTCCAGAAACCCCAGACCCATTGGTGCTTCCAGAGGACCCATACCCCAGGGAGGCTCTGACTGCATGTCGGGTCCCCAGGGAAGGTTTCCTAAGCCAGTCCTCAGCAGGCAGGCAGAGGACGCATTTGAGATGCCGGGGAAAGCCCCTCTTGGTGAATACTGAAGGAGCACCTGCTGGGTGGGGCCCTAGAGAAAGCGGGGAGCGCTATCTGGGCCCCAGCTCAGGTCGGGGAGGAGTGCAGGGGATTGGCCTACAATGAGCTAAAGGCTCAAGGTGTCAGAGGTGGGGAGGCTGTGGCCTGGGGGGGC